GAGTTGAAGTCCACAGATCTTCAAGTGGCCAAGGTTGAGGAACCCTGTGTTAAACTAATCCAATTCAAAAGAAAACTGATAATGTAACACTCACAAAACAACATGCATAACTTGGGTTCCTCTGACATCCCAGCTCTAATGCCTAGGCTGAAAGCTTCATCTTAACTGCCCTCCGGCAAGCATTTGGAGGGGATCAGGGCCTCTGAATTTTGGGGGGAAGCTGTTCCATAGGTCAGGTGTGCAGCAGCGAAGGTGTACCACCTTGGTCTGCAAGATGACACCATTTAATCGAGGTGGCTTGGAGCATGCCCACTCTGTCAGATATAGTAGAACGGGCAGAAATCATCCAAGATTGGAAGTCCTGCAAGTAATCTGACCTCTTGCTGTGTAGGAATTGCACCTGAAAGCATCCTGGTGGATGCATGTTGAAGACTGTAATCCTTTGTAAGTCCCCCCAGTCATTTGGTGAGTGAGTAACCTTAGAGGTTGTAAGGAATAAATATCTGTTTGATAGCCACCCTTGAAATACAGGTAGTCCTCACTTAATGACCAGAATTGGAACCGGCAACTCTGTTGTTATGCAAGACATCACTTGACCACGACAGACTTACCATCTCATTTCTGTGGGCGTTTAGTGAGTCACCTGCAGTCATTAAGTGAGACATCACGTGGCTGTGACTCGCAACTTCTCCGTTGATTGCTTGTGGGAAGCTGGCAGTGAGGGTCGCAAATGGTGATTGTGTGTCCACAAGACACTGCGATAGTTGTAAATGTGAGGACTAGTTGTAAAGTTACTTTTTCAGTGCTGTCGTAACTTCGAACGGTCCATAAATGAGGCAATCGCTAAAGGAGGACTACCTGTACAGGATTCTGCTATGTTTGGCTAATCAAATTACAGCTCTAAGCTTGACCTCTTTGAGGCTCAGGGATTCTTTGACGGGTACGGTGGTGGTGAGCTTGACCAGACATCTCTGTGACACCTGTCCGTTTGCTCCTCTCGAAGGAACCGACAGCGTAAGCTGGGTACAAAGCTACAGTGAGTGTTGAAGTCTCCGGAATTGGACCACGCAGTTCTGTATCCCGGAAGGCCGGAATGGAGAGACCTGCGCAGAGCATTGGGGACGTAGCAAGGCGACTTTTAAGGGACGGATCAAAGTATCAGGCAGGGACCACCACCTGAAGACCCCAGAGGCCTTTTCCAACGCGCTGGATCAATCCTGCTGCATGCTGAGTCCGTCCGCGAGCAGAACCCATTTATATATCGCAGGTGCACAGCGTTAGGCTGGATGTTACCCTCCCTTGGGCATGATGTGCTGGCGAGCATTTTTTGCACAAGCACCGCTAAATTGGATGGGGTCAGAGGGGCAAAGCGGGACGTTCGGGTGGTCCATCCACTTCAGCCGGGCTTGCATAAGACATCCGTCGGTAGGTTGTACCTGTGAATATTTAAGTTGGGGCAGAGAAGGGACCATATGCCTTGGAGATAAACCCGATACAGCTCTGTGACTTTTCTATTGAATCTTTTTTAAAAAAAAAAAAAAAAATTTGCAGCATGCAATCCACGCACTATTTATGTCATGGGTTGTCCAGTTTGCAGAAGGGGAGTGGAGGGGGCCGGTTTGATCGTGCTTTTCGGGGAGAGCAGCCAGCTCACTGCCACTTAAAAAAGTTGGGGGCAAAACGAAATCAAGCAAGGTTAGAGAAGGGGAACCTTTAGTCCCAACGGCACTTTGTGTCAGTGTCAGCGGTCTACGGCGATGGTTGCTTTGAACACTAGTGCTCTTTCTACACAACTCACCAGAGCAACCCGACAACCTTAAGGATCTGCATGTGCTGATCAGTACAATGATAAAAAAAAAAAATCCACAATGCTTTTTTTTTTTTCTCCTTAATCACATTCTGGTACTGAGATACTCATCCAAATTTGGGAGTTCTTTTGAGTGCCAACCAGAAGGTCTCTATTACTGTAACTCCTTGCCTTCCCTTCCTCTGCTTTCTCCCCCACTCCCCAATCTAGACTATCGCAAACTTGGTTTTGCCGGTTGTTTCGAAGGAAAGCCCACAAACGGGAGCATCCCTGTGTTGAGGTGTGAGTGATGGGGATGGTAGTCCAGCAGAATTAGAAGGCACCACCCAAGGGGAGGCTGGTTTAAAATGACCCCTCGGCTACCCCAAAACTTTTAAATACTCAATAAACGTGTTTTTATGGTAGTTTTCTGCCTGGAAATGTTTGTTTCCTCGAACAGTTGTGTATTAAGACATCTGTTTGCAAGCCCTGATTGGGAGGATCGTATCACGGGTTGTTGTAAACCAGGAGGGGCATCTCAGCTACATAAGCAGCAATGGCCAGAATTCATCAAAAGTTTGCCTCTCCCTGAGATGATTTAGACATCCCAACGCTGCTGTTTAATTGTTTTTATCAGGGTCAAGATGCCAATCCTGTTTCTGCCAATGAGGCTGGAATGGCATGTGGGAATGACCTGGGGAGACTGGGTGAAGAGATGCTGCCTAGGGAACAATCAGATAAGAGAGAGCTTAGCCCTCAGCTGCATAATGAGCAGAGAAAGGCTCAGAAGGGATCCTCCCTAGTTTCTTGGGCTGTAAAGGAGACGGGAAGGGGAATTGTACTTTCAATCTTGAAAGATTCTATCAGTGTAGCTTTACAATAAAGTAGAATTAGCTCATCTGGTTGTGATCCCTATTTGGTTTACCCCACTAGGCTGACATTAATCTTGCAAGTCTGAAAGTACAATTCTTCGTCACTTTTATTGCTGTCACTTAGGGAGGGTTCCTTCTGAGCCTCTTGCCACTCCCGCTATCCAGCTGAGGGCTATGCTCCCTCTTATCTGACCATTCCCTAGGCAGCATCTCTTCACCCCGTCTCCCAAGGTCATTCCTGCATACTATTACAGAGGAAGAGTAAAGAACACTCATTTCTGAGTTTCCACCCAAAGGATTTGGACTACGGATTGCTTTGAACAGGATTGTGCCCGTGCTGATGTCTGTTGGTGTCTACTCCCAGCAAGGCAGCTCGTGAGCACCAGCCAGATAGGTAATTCCTAGCAATCAGGGTTTAGCCCACCTGATGCTGTTAATTTAGCCAGCAACTGGAGCTGCGTTGCTGGTCAGTTGAGTGTTGAATGCATCGTGCAAACCCCATGGCCCATTTTTTTTTTCCAGGTTAAGTTCAGGCCCAAATGGCTTGGGGTTCAGCAATTCACTTAACCTGGCGTACCTCGTCTCGTTTGAATGCAGAAGCAGGGTTCAAGTTGCCATGCAAAATGAGGTTGCTGCACCACACTGTCTCCTTGGGTTTGCACAGCCTGCTAACCTTTGGTGAAGAAGCCATGACATGTGCGTGCATCACATAAGCAAACCGAGTTACAGCTTTGTGAGGTGGCCTGCTTTTGACCACAAGCTGGATCATAAGCAGCTTGACTGTTTTAGCCTAACCTAATGGGTTGTGTGAACTCATGAGCATGTGTGAGCTCAGCCAACGGTGATTTACTCCAGAAACCATTATTAAAACAAATCATGGATTAGTGAGTAGCATGAATCAGACATGTGAATAGATCTGGCCTGCAAACTTTTACACTCGTGTTCTTTTCACTTCTCAAGCACAAATGATTTTTTTACACGAGAACACAAAGTTAACATTCACTCAGGAAAGAAACTTCAAAACAGCCTTCTGGGCTTTTAATCAGGGTACATTTATATAGCTGAATGCCTTTGCATCTTTCAGAGCAAGACATTTTTTTTAAAAAAAAATCACGTAATACAATTTATAATCCGATCACGCAAGCGTTTGGCCAAAGTGCTACAAAATCAAACAGCAAGAATTTGGCAATCCTCGCTAAACAGTGCAAAATCTCTGTTCAATACAAGCGTTGGTAAAATACTACGGCAGGCAAAATTTCAGTCATTTAAGACCTTAACTTGGAGACCAACCTATATGGGTATTTCGGTACTTAAAAATAATATTTCCTAGCTTAGTACCTTCCAGACTGGTGAGGTGGCAACTTCCAGAATTCCTAGGGCCCTACTGGCTAAGAATTCCCAGAACTCTCAGCGAGTGTGATCCTTGGGAATCCTGGGAATTTCCATATTGAGTCTGGCTGGCAGAAAGATCTGAGAATTACAGCCCTAACAGATCCGGGCGATCTGATCTTTCACCCTGCAAGAGGAGTGAGCAAATGACCTACTTAAGGGGGTGCCAGAATTAACTGATATTCTGAGTTTGCACAACACAGAGAAGCATAAAGGAGTCCAACTGGTTGAATTCACCCAACAGGCAAGACTGCAAATAGACCAATCAAGGTTGAACCTAGCAAGCTTAGCATGTTTTATGAATGTGGCGTGAACCTGGGTCCTGGAGCCATGCGTGTTGATACATGGGCTGTCCTTTCTCTGCCTCTGGTTCTTGTCACTTTTACATATTTATAAAGAATATAGTACTGGTATTCTAAAGCAGTGTTTCTCAACCTTGGGAACTTTAAGATGGGTGGACTTAACTCCCAGAA